CTGGGCTCCACGGTCACGTCACTGGATTCAAGTGCAGAGTACAAATAGGACCTCCTTAGCCTCCACCTCAGTTTCTAAGATACAGTTGAGAGAATATCATAATATGGTCGAGAAAACTGATTTGAGATGTTACACTGAAAGAACTTAGAATATTACATGGTTATAGTAAATGCTCCTAAGTGCTAACTCTTAGGCAGAGGCAAGGCTTAGTATATTCACTAACCTGGTAATAAATCATTTCTTAGACTCAGAGATATAAACTGGGTGATTAAAATTCAGACACAGGCTGAAGAAATAGCTCCATGGATGAGCACCTTCTTTACATACTAGTAGCCTGGGTTTGATTCCCTGTCACTACATGGTCCCCTGAGCACCACTAGGAGTGACTCGGAGCCTGGAGTAGTCTTGACCACCCTCAGAAAATCAGAATCATTACGTGGGTCCACCATTAGATAGGACACCTTAGTACCATCCTTTAGCATTATTATTTCATTTCACTGGGATAAGCCACAAAGATCAACCAAACTGTTCTTTGTGTATTCTTAATATATTCAAGATCGGAGGCTAGACACACACTCATGCTTCTAGTTTTCACTGACCATGCCCTCAGTTAACTCCTCTTACTAGATGGAATTAAATTTACAGTAAAGCCCTAGCAAAAGCTTCCCAAATTATTTTAGCTGTAATTTATTTTAGCTCCTTGAGCAACAGGAGAAAAGGGACCGCTTTAACTGACATCGTAGAAAATTGTGCTGCTCTCCAGGACTTCTGGACCCCAGGTCCATGACACATACTTAAAGTTTAGTTTATGACTGCACAGCTGTCTTCCTGCAGTGTGGGACTAGATTAGCCTGCTCAGTTTGAACGAACGATGCCCTATCCTGAGGCCCAGTCAGGAACGGGCCGCTCCCTCTATTGATAGAGGCTGCTATGCTACAAAGGTTTTTACTTTTTTAAAAAAAGTTCTCGTTGAAATGCATCAGTTGCTGATTTGGTGTCTACACAGGCAGGCAGGAGCACACAGACAGGACAAAGGATCATGCAGAAAAGATCACCTGCTGACGTTCACGTGCCCGACAGGGAGGTCGGGCAGTGGGAGGAGAGAGTGTGATCACTTTTTTTGGGCAGGTCCGAGAATGTTGCTTGTCCCGTTGCTTTTACACCAACAGACACAAACAGAAAGAATATCGGTGAAACGGTGACCACGGGACTTGTACTGGTAGTCTGGCAGGCCCTTTGCCAATAGCATCCCAAAGTCCCCTGGCCCGGGCCCCTCATCCTCAACAGCAAACCACCCTGTGGGGAGGATGGCAAGGCACATGGCTCCACGGTCTCCACTGTGCTGGGTGCGGTCACACTGGAACCTCTGCCTCCCTGTGTAGCAGTGCCCAAGTGCCAGGGACCAAGTATCCTATATCTCTGTCCTGGTTGATTTTATGAGGGGAGATGGGGCCAAAAAAAAAAAAAATTAAAAAAAGACCAAGTGATAAGAACCACCATGAGGGAGCAGGAACTCCCTCTCAAGGGCTTCAGGATCAGTCTACCAAGGAAAGATAAGAAAATACAGGAAAGAGGATATAAGATTTAAACAATAACAATATCACGCATGTGTCTAGGAATTATTTTCCCAGTTAGCGCTCCCCAGTGTAGCTCCTTCCCTATGAATATGTATATAAATTAGAGAACATGATAATACTTAAAAAAAAAAATCACATATTTGCAGACCAAAAAGATCCTTGATTTTCCCAAGTCCAGAATGACTATGCATACGGTCTGGGAGAAAGAATGGTGATAGGTGAGGCCAGGGACCAGCTTCACTGCTGGGTCCGATGTCAGAGGACAATCTACTTCCACACTAAGGCTGGCTAATGTGAGCAAGCCTGTAGGATGTATTTTTCCTACCAAAAGGCAAAAGGGTGTGTAATGAAAGCAGACAAGTTATTACACAGGCAGGTAAAAAGAGATGTCACTGTTCATATACCCAAGATTAAATCAGTCTTTTTGCCATCCTTGATGCATTCGGCCTGCTATTGCCTCAAAACTTAAAGAGAAGCACCAAGGGAGTCAGGCTGAGGTGTTGCCAGTCAGTCTTCTGTTCTGAAGGGGTGATGAGGAGGACCAGCAGTAGGCGCACCATAAGCAGGGGTCCCTTTGTTCCTCGGTTTCTGCAGCATCTGGCTTCGCATTCCAACATCTCATCTTTCACATGAATTACAGAAGTGTGAATTACGGTTCTCTCACTGGCACCTCCCTTCATAATATTCTATAGAATATTATGAAGGGATCCAAAAGACTTTCATTGCTCTTGGCTTCCTACTTCTCAAATTTCATTTCTCCACCAGCTACTCTCCCTAACCTGAGTATCATTCCAAAAGAATCTAGGTTTGATTTTGAAGGCTCTCTTTCACTGCTGTAATTATACACTGCCCAGGAGAAATCAGTTGTGCATATACATACAGATGCCCACGCAAGGCTTAGGCACATAGATGATTCGTGAAGGGAGAAGCACAAGAAGGCCCACAAACACCAAATTCCAGGACCCATTCAAGATAGTTCAATCAAACCACAGTGCCTAAAAGGGAAAAGGGGAAAAGGAGGGAGGGAGGGAGGGAGAGAATGGGGGGGGGGGGAGGGGGGGAGGGAGAGAGAGAGAGAGAGAGAGAGAGAGAGAAGTGTCTGCCACAGAGGCAGATTGCAGATGGGGGAAGAGAGGGCAACTGGGGACACTGTGTGTACACTGGTGAAAGGGTGGGGGTTAGAACACTGTATGCCTAAGACCTAAACGTGAACAACATTGTAACTGTGTGTCTCATGGTGAATGAGTTGAAAAAAAAAATAGTTCAATCGGGTGATAAGCTGTGGAGCCAATTCGCTTGGATAGACAAAGGCTTTGGTGTAATCAGGGTCTTCAACTCAATGCCCACCACTTCTCAGCAAGCTCACCCAAAGCTTTTCCAAGCCCAGGTCACTTAAACATGTTTAACTTTGACAAAGAAAAAAAAGTCTATCTTCTTGGGGTCTGAGTAATAGTACAGTGTCTCACATGTAGCTAACCTGTGTTCAATCCCTGGCACCCCACAGGGTCCTTAATTCCACCAGGAGTGATCCTTGAGCAGTGATGGGTGTGGCAAAGAAGGGAAGGGAAGGGAAGGGAAGGGATTTTCCAACTTGATCACAGCTGACCTTCCATTCCCTGCCTCTCGTATCTCACCTGGCCTTGAAGAATTTAGTGCAAAGCTGATTTTTCCTTTTAACAGAGCCTCAACTAAGATTATTTCTCAAATAACATCTTCTACCAAGACTTCAAGGCAAAGGGTGAGAAAGCAGAATTGAATCTATATACTCCTCCCACCAACAACATAGGGAACAATGCAAACTGGCTATTGAAGTTTTGGACACTGGTAGCAAATGTCTAAATCTCAAGGGCCATGCCTTAATGTTGCATATTATGAAAATACAGGTTAGAAAGGAGTGTTTGCCTTGAGTATAAATTAAATGAAACCCAGGACCTTGCAATGGCTTTCTAGCCTCTCGGAAAGTTTCAGTCCTAAATGGTGTCAACACACGAGAGATGGTCAAGGTAGCACAGCTCTGGCACTTGGGTCAACTGTGACACGAAAGGAAGAGCAGAGGCCATGCCCTGCCCTCGGCTTCCTGTTATCACCCAGTGGCACTCCCTTCTTCATTTGTCATATTCCTTCTCACCTTCGTTTTCTTTTTTCCCCAAACACCCATCCCTCCACCAGTGCACATTCCCCACCGCCAATATCCCTGGTATAACCCCCCTTCCCCACCCTCCCTCTGCCTCCATGGCAGATATGATTCCTATAATCTCTCTCTTCTTTTGGGCATTACGGTTTGCAATACAGACACTGAGCGGTTATCATGTTTGGTCCTTTATCTACTTTCTGCACACATCTCCCATCCCGACCGATTCCTCCAGCCATCTTTTTCTTAGTGATCCCTTCTCTATCCCAGCTGCCTTCTCCCCTTTGCTCATGAGGCAGGCTTCCAGCTATGGAGCAATCTGTCTGTCCCATGTATCTACTATCCTTAGGTGTCAGCCTCATGTTATGTTGTTTTATACTCCACAAATGAGTGCAATCCTTCTATGTCTGTCCCTCTCTTTTCACTTAGCATGATGCTCTCCATGTCTATCCAGTTATAAGCAAAGTTCATGACTTCATCTCTCCTGACAGCTGCATAGTATTCCATTGTGTAGATGTACCAGTCATCTGTTCTAGGGCACTTGGGTCGTTTCCAGATTTTGGCTATTGTGAACAGTGCTGCAATGAACATACAGGTACAGATGTCATTTCTACTGTGGCGCTCCCTTCTTTTCATCCAATTCTGTAACTCTTACAGAGAGGCAGTTTTCAGGTAATCTACAAAGATTTTAGTAAAAAGTTCCAAGAGTACTTTATATGTAGATGAAATACCAAGAAAATGTCCAAAATCATCTTCTGTCCAGGGACATTTCCCCCGCTCTTAATGTCAGTGCTGGGAACTGTCTGCAGGACCTACAGAGCGAGGCACGTGATCCACCACTCAGGCACATCCCTGGCTCCTGGCCAGGGTCTGAGACAAAGGTTATTTTCTGGAGAGGCGCTCCACTGCCCCAGTACTGACAGGAACTGAGGATCCTCCCTGCAGTACTAGTAACGAGACCAGCAAAAGGCCAAACTTGGACAAAAACTGACAAAACGCCAAAGGCTAAGATAGCTGAATATTTTAACATCGGGCTTTAGTTAGTTAAATGCCAAATCAACAGTCTGGCTTTTTCAATAGGCTTCTCATATTCCAAGGAGTTAGGCAAACGTACAATAAAATTGGCATCATCTGTTAACTACTGACCCAGAGTCACTATGCAAATAAGAAGAGGAGCTGCTTCTGCCCCCGTGAACCAGAATCTAAGTCACTGGCTCGGGAGAAACGAGGGGGGAAGGAACAGGAGAGGAGAGCAGGGGGCGCCCACTTTGCCCCCTGGGAAGTTCCTTTACCTGTTTCCACAGAGAAGTGGGAGCAGGGCGCGCCTGCTCGGAGAGGCAGGACGGCTGGATGACCCCACACTCTTGTGTCGGCTGTGACACACAGGCCAAGCATGGGTGGGGGGCAAGACATGGAGACAAAACAAAATAAAATTCATTAAGGTAGGAGAAGACACAAAATAAGGCTCTCAATGGAGGACAAAGTTACATTCTTGACAGGGGTGGGGAGGGTGGGGAATGGGGAGACAGGAAAGACAAAATTCCCAGCTTTGTTATAGGCAAGTGATGGTCTTCTCTTTCTCTCTCTCTCCCCCCCTCCCTCTCTGTCTTCTCTCTCCCTTCCCTCACTCCCTCTCTCTCTCCCTCTATCTCCCCCCTCCCCCATATGTGGAAAATAAAGATACAAAACATGAAACAAAGGAACAACATGTCAAAATAAACCTTTGGATTCTACCATAAGAACTGAGGTTATCAAGCGCAGGTAGGGAGGAGGGGGAGGACCAGGGATTTGGGCATTTGGGGAGTAGTAGGAGTGTAGTGAATGTTTACATGCCAAAAGCATAAATATCTCTGTTAACTCAAAAGTAAGTCAAAAGATATACTCGATAGAAGCAAAATATCTATACAGATGAGCACTGTTAATGCTACCAACTAAAAATGACTATGAATTAGCGTATTAGCATCAACTACTACTCTCTATTAACACTGATGGTGTATCCACAACCAAAAGCAAATGCAAAAAGAAAGAGGGAGGGGCGATAGCATTTATTAATCACATTCTCCTTTTCCTAGTGCAATCTTCTGAGCCTAAACTATGAATTCTGGTTTGGGAAACCAATCTTTCCACCAAAAGTAAAGAAAGCAGCTTTCTTTTAGGAACACACGTCCTCTCCCTTAGAGCATTCCAGCCCTTTGGGGGTGAGCAGAACCTGGGGCTTTGAGAATCAACAGGCAACCCCAAATGTTTACTAATGTACAGGATCGCTCGGAGTGCCACAGCTAAAAGACAGGAGTGTAAAGATTAAGGTGAGAATTCAATCATGGCTAAACTCCACGCAAAGTCAGACACAGTTCCTCAACCCCACCCTGACAGACAGACAGACAGAGACACACACACACAGAGGAACAAGGAAAAAATGAGAATAAAGACATACATTTCCTCTCCAAATGCTGCCAACATTTATTTTACAAGAAACTTTAGTGCCTTTGGGTCAGGGAGAGAAGAGACAGCCCTGACAAAGACATCATAGGTCACAGCTAGCACTCTCAGACTTAACTCAGGGGGATGCAAGCTAGTACCCAGGAAGAAGCTCTAAAATCCTATTACTTTTGACTCCCTTCAAGAATAAGGTAAAAAGGTAAAGGCCCTCCCGTTGATCATCGATTTGCTCGAGCAGGCCCAGTAACGTCTCCATTGGAGACTTTGTTGTTACTGTGTCTGGCATATCGAATACGTCACAGGGAGCTTGCCAGGCTCTGCCGTGCGGGCAAGATACTCTCGGTAGCTTGCCAGGCTCTCCGAGAGGGGCGGAGGAATCGAACCCGGCGCGGCCAGGCTGGCTGTGAGCAAGGCAAATGCCCTACCGCTTAAAGTCTGGCCTCTCAAGGAGTGACAAAAACAAAAATGAAAATGCTTCTATTGGTCAAATATGAATCTTTTAAAATAATTAAGGTAAAGGTAAAGGCCCTCCCGTTGATCGTCGATTTGCTCGAGCGGGCCCAGTAACGTCTCCATTGGAGACTTTGTTGTTACTGTGTCTGGCATATCGAATACTCTGGGTAGCTTGCCGGGCTCTCCGAGAGGGGCGGAGGAATCGAACTCGGGTCGGCCATGTTGGCTGCGTGCAAGGCAAACGCCCTACCCGCTGTGCTATTGCTCCAGCCCAAGAATAGCCTGGGAAAACCACCGGCTACAGAAAAGAGCAGCTTTTTTTCTGGTGGTGGTAGCGGGTGTTTTTTTGGGTCATTCCCAGCTATATCCAGGGGTTACTCCTGATGGTGTTTATGGGGCCCATGTTCAGTGCCAGGTGCCCAGCTGGGGTCAGCTGTGTGCAAGGCAAGCGCCTCACCCAGCACTACTAGCACTCAGGCCTCAGAGAAGCCTTATCAGAGGAATTTTCGCCTCTGAAATGGACCACAAAAGGTGAGAAACAATGACAAATCCAGTGTGAGAGTGAGGAAAACCAGAATATGTACATGATTTGGAAGCTGCTTATTGAGTTTTCAACACGTGGAAAGGACTGGGGAAGCGGGGGAGCCCAGACCTCGCATATGCAAAGTTCCTACCACAAACAAACAAAACAAAGTGCCAAAAATTATATGAAAAAAGCAGAAGAGAAGCAGCTATGAAACTATGAAAACAAAAATGTACTAAAAAAATTAGCAGAGGGGCCAGAGAGATAGTACAGTGAGTAGGGCGCTTGCCTAGCGAGTGGCCAACGTGGGTCTGATTCCCAGCGTTCCAAATGGTTCCCGGAGGCTGTCAGGAGCTGGGTGCGGCGCCAAAAGTAACCCCTGAGCACTGCCAAATGCGGCCCAAAATCAAAAACAAAAACCAAATCAGAAATAAATATTGCGAAACAGTAACTATAGGTGCCTGATTGTTAGACATTTTAGCACTTTCCTCATAAGCATGCACTTTTGTGATTTTAAACATCCGTCCACTGCTCTCTGTCACAGACCCCCAGTCCTGAGTGAGGAGGGCGAAAAGCAGACCGAGGACGCTCTTTTCTGCCAGTCAGAAAAGGGGACAACCAGACCCATCATAAGCCTTGGGTCTGTGAACAGCCCACCTAACCTCCTGAAAGAATCTCCGCAGGAGTGAGATGGGATTTACCTGTCTCCGCACACCGGCGGACTGTGGGGGTGCATTCTCTTCGAATTTGGCCAGCAGCTGGGTTGCCATGTACTTCACTTTGTTCTGGTTACCAACGGCGACATCCATGCGCCTATCGGTCAGCGTGCTCACCACAGTGGCCCTCCCTGCTCGGCAGGGCCGGGGCGCATCCTCCTGATGAACACAAGCCACCGAAAACAGGTCTCCTGTCAGAGGTGCCCTCCCCAAACACCCTTCCCTCAAAGGACGCAGTCAGTGCCTGCTATTTTATTTTAATGTATTTTAAATACAGTGGCTGGTACTTCTGCTTTAGGTTGAGCCTAACAGCTCTTCGAGACTCTAATCGCAATAGTTGGCAAGACTTTGGCCCATGCATGGAATGGTACAGAGGCACTCAGACGTTTTTTGCTGAAGGTGTTTTATTCCAGGGAAGCCACTACCCTTTGCAACGCACTAGCGCAAGTACGTGCATGTTCCCTTAATTGCTACCAGGAAAATTAACTTCAGGCAAAACCCCACAGCGAGAACATCTCCCGGTAAACATTCTCATAAGGGATACACATGAAAAGACCCAGCAAAGTAAATATGGTAATGAAAGAAATAAGCCAAAAAATAGACATTTCATTATAAAATATAAAATTAAAAAAAATCACCCGCAAATCCCAGATAATCGTTACCTCTTCTGATTGACTAGTCTTTCTCCTCTTCCCGGCACCATCCAAGTCCTTTTCCTTTTTATCCTGTATGAAGATATAAGGAAAATCACATTATTCTCGTCGCTATTCTAGCTATTCGCCTGCAACTGATAAAAATAACTGCTTAAGGGTCAGGGATGTGGCTCAGCAGTGGAGCACCTGCCCTGCATGCGTGAGGCCCTGGGTTTAATCCCCAGTACCACAGAAAACACTAACCAAAACAGCGACTGCCGGCTTGGGGTGAGCTCAGGTTTACACTCACCACGAGCTCAGCCAGAGCCCCGCACTGCATCTTCCCCGCCCCGCCCCCACTGCACCAGCTGCAAGAAGCCCCTCAAGATGAAGCAGGTGCTGGCAGGCCCCAAACCCTTGGACCCAAGGAGTTTCATACCCTCAGGTCCTGGTACAGAATTGCCCCCTGGTGGCCCCTGGACCACCCTCAGCAACACTCCAGAGGCTCACAAAACATACATGAAACAAAGTGTATTTCAGACAAATTTTGAAAGTTCCCGTCACGAGAAAATAAATTATCTGCGTGGTGATGGCTCTTAACCAGACTTACAGAGATGAGTATTTCACAGTATATATCAAATCAAGTCATCATACTGTATAGCTGAACTTAACGTAAGACTCTATGTCAATTACCTCTCACAAGCAAAACTCTTCCCTTTACCTTAGGAGAACGCTTCCGAGAGATTGTCTGTCCCAGTTTGCTGAGAAAGGAAATGGGGGATTTAGTGCTGGCTATCAGGACTGCTTTCTCCTCAGCATTCAAGTCCAAGGCATCTGTGAACAGGAAGCAATGTTCAGGACGGCCCTGGCCCAGAAAGGCCTCCAAGTGCTGGCCAGAAACAACCTTTGCAGGTGGTTGACAGAACCTCTCATAGGGCAAAAGACTTATCAGCGCCAATACAAGCACAGAGCATCAGGAAACCCCACCAAAAAAAAAAAACACCCTTAGGTATGGCGCCTCTTCTTTTCCATCCACATAAACAGGATCCGCTCCATTTCCTAATTCAATTATAAAAGCCACTCATTTTCCTAAGTTGGCATCTGCTTGTGATGGTCACTTACAGCACTATGATGAGGCCTAACCTGAGTGAAAAAACTCTCAAGGTACAGAAAGAAGTGGGGCTACACAACCCAGGTGTCAGTCTGGATGCATGGAAGCACCAAACATCACATCAACTGCACGCAGATCGACCCTGAATGGGTCTGTCAATGTTGGAGGTGCCTATGCATTTACAGGATTGTACAGGAATTAAGGCACTTGCCTTGCCTATGGCCAACCCTGGTTCAAACTTAGCACAGCATGGTACTCTAGAGCAATACTAGGTATCACTGACCCCCAGCACAGAGCCAGTAGCCCCTAAGCAAAGCCAAGTGCAGACAAAAACAAAAACCAAAACAACAAGATACATGGGCATTTCCCTTACACACGGCTGACCTGGGTTCCGTTCCTGGCATCCCACAGGGTCCTGTGAGCCCACCAGGAGTGATCCTTGACTGAACGAAGAGCCAGATGTTAGCCCTGAGCACTATCTGGCGTGGCCCCAAAACACAAAAAATCCCCAAATAACAAAATCAACAAATACCACCCCTCTTGTCCCCCCAAATGTACGGGAGGGAGTCCAAAGGGCTGAAGCACAGGCCTAGTGTGCATGGCATCTGGATCCAAGCTCTGGCGGCACAGGGCCCCAGCTCCACAGGGAACTGGTGACCCCAGCAACGCTACATATCCTGGGCCAAGCACCAAAACCCCCAATGAAACACTTGTCTAATTAAAAAAAAAGTTACAGATGTTTCTAAGAGTATGTGGACTAGAAAATCATGGAGAACAGGACCACAAATTTGATGGATTTCAATGTTTTATTACCAACAACAGCGTTTTTAAAAATTAGTAACTGAAACTAATAATACCTTGCTAACAACTTATTAAGTGTTCTGTTGTCATTCTTCTTAGCATATCACAACCTATCTAGACCGCTTAACAGATAGGTAAACTGAGGCACAGGAAATTTTGAAAATTGCCTAAGGTCAAATAATTAGAATGTAAACTTGGGTCAGATACCACGGTAAACATGCTAAAGCATTATGCTAAGCTTCCTCCAAGAGACAGAAGGAATCTCCACCTCTGGTGGGAGGGAAGGTGTTTAAGGCCACACGCAGTGGTGCTCGGAGGCTGCTCCCAGCCTTGTTAGGGGACCACTTAGGCCTGGAAATGAAACCCTTGCCACCTGCCGGCAAAGTGTGTTCTCAGCCCACTGAACTTCTCAGAAACATATTTTTGGAGCCCAGTGGCAGACTAAGGCATTAGGCTAAGGGCTAGGGAAAGGTTCTGTGGATCCATTAAATAGACAGAGAATAAAGAGATGCCAGAGAGGGCAGAGTTACTGGAAAAAGAGAATGAGGTGAGGTCAGGCAGGGGGGCATGGCTCAGTGTCGGAATCCAGGCCTCCCCCGTGTGAAAAAGCCCGGGGTTCCATGCCAGGTATCGTGGGGAGGACCAAGGCAAACTGGGGTAGGACTATCCGCTGTATTCCTATGGGGTTGGGGGAGGGAATTAAGTTTTAGGAGGGAAAGAGAATCTCAAGAGAAAGGAAACCAGTCCATTGTGCTGAACAATGCGGAAAAGAAGAGTCAGTGAGAGAGAGATGAGACGTGAAAGATCTGGGGATTCTCAGGGACAGAAGCTGGGGACAACAAGGGTGCAGAGGACACAAGCATCACTGGGATGTGGCCCCGTGGCCGGGAGCTCTGGCCTCGCGTGTGGGATGCGCTGGGGTGGATCTCCAGCGCCACATCTCCTTGCAGGCAGGCCTGAGTCTGATCCCCAGCATTGCTCCACATGCTGAGTGTGACTCAACCAAGTGTGTGTGATCAGTGCACAACCAAGTCACCACAACAGCAACAGCAAAGGGAAAGGAAGAGGCAAACTTAAAGGTTGATTCTTAGAGAAAAGAGAACAGGAAAAGTTCCTAAGAAACTGATACAGCCACCAAAGAAAAATTTAAATATGAACTTTAGCAGATTTATAGATTTAGTGAGGAAGGAGTGGCAGAGAATGGAACAACAATGGACGAAAGAACCCAGGTTTGCATTCAGTGGCAGTGATGGGCGAGAGCTCAGGAAGGAGAGCCTGGGCTGGAGCGACAGGACAGCGTTTGGTACAGCTCTTGCCTCAGACACGGCTGACCCGGGTTTGATTGTGGCGTCCCACACGGTCCCCCAAGCACTGCCAGGAGTAGGCCCTGAGCGCAGAGCCAGGAATAACCCCTGTACATTGCCAAGTGTGGCCCAAAAGCAAACAAAAGAGAATGGTGAGAGCTGAAGCACTTGCCCTGCAAACACGAGGCCCTGGATTCTTCAGCAGACACCACCAACGCTGGCTCCAGAGCAAAGCAAAACAAATCCAAACAATGAAACGAAAACCAAAAGAAGGAAAGATGCCAGACAGAGAAGCCACGGCCCGGCACTGTGCCTGCAGCCCTTACCACTGGAGGGGAGGGAGTCTCTGAACATCTCGTAGAACTGAGTCAGGTACATCACCATGGACAGCTTGTCAGGTTCCCCCACCGAGGCCATCTCCTTGCCGGTCATGATGGGAGAAATGCCCAGCTCCTTTTCCGCAATGTCAAAGGCAAGCTGGTTATTCGTCTCCACATTTTGCTCATCTAGAGAATCAAAATCTCTGAGAAAAACGAGGAGGAAAACGTATCAAGATGGGTTGCTCGTCTTAAACCAGAAAACACAACACCACGGAATAAATGGAATGAACGGACATTCTTAGTCTGTTAAGGTAAAATTTGGGCAGTGGTGCATCACTGAAATCTAAAAGCAAATCAGTTTATCTCCATTCTCTGCTGCCTTAGTTACCAAAACGCAAATTGTTGAAGATCGACACGCAAAAAGGAAAATGAGAAAACTTGAAAAATGATTATTTTCAAATTAAAATGTAAGCTTGAGGTACCCAAGAAACAGCAGAGAGCGCTTGTCTCACATGTGGCCTACCAGCTCCATCCCCAGCACCACATATGGTCCTCTGAGCTCTGCCAGAAGTGAGCCCCTGAGGAGAGAGCCAGGAGTAAGCTGGGTCTGAGCACCAATGAGTGTGACCCCCCACCCTCAAATGGAAGCTCAAGAACGAGATTCAAAAATAAGCTCAAAAATAGGAACAATTTTAATCACGTATCCTCTTGTGTCTTGGGAGTGCTCTTCATGTATTAAACTATAGCTCAAGAATGACAGAACCGTTTCTTGGGGCTGACTCATTGCAAAGGTCTGCGACCGTAGGCCTGTGTGCCCTTTGAACTGAACAAGCTGCTGATATTAAATAAGCTCTGGCAAATCCTAGCCAAATACTCTTACAAGGGAAATTCCAAGGTCTTCCTTAAAAGATTTTCCACTGCTGAATGTCCCGAGTCTAAGCAAGTACTCATATGAATAAACATTCCCCACTATGTTTCAAGCTTCTTCCAGTCTGGCAAGTCAAAATCCTTCTTTAAATAAATTCATCAGGCTTTATTTTGTGCTAACTCCATGGCAGTGTTTGGTTCTTTAAAATTCCTTTTTTCGGCAGTTTAAGACTATTAAATGATGGATGCTTCACCCTGAACAGAGTCACTGTAATCTAAACAGCTACAAAGTACCTACTCACTGCTTTGTGTTCTGCAAAAAAGAAAATTCCCAGGGCTGGAGCAATAGCACAACGGGTAGGGCATTTGCCTTGCACACAGCCAACCTGGGTTCGATTCCCAGCATCCCATATGGTCTCCTGAGCACCGCCAGGAGTGATTCCTGAGTGCAGAGTCCAGGAATAACCCCTGAGAGTCACCGGGTGTGACCCAAAAATAAAAAAAAAAATTCCCTGGAGAAGGGGAGGGGAGAAGAAAGGGAAGGGAGGAAGGGAAGGGGAAGGAAAGTAGAAAGGTGGGGGAGCCGAGGGAGCGGAAGTGTGCAGAAAAGGGGACGGGGAAGGGAGCCAAGACTTCTGGAGTCACCAGGTACAAGCTGCAGTGACGGGACAGGGAGACAGGGGAGGAGTAGGCCCTCCTACGCCCTCCTACTCCCTCCTCCATGGGACGCAGAAATGACGCCACATTCGCCCACCATCTAGAGCTTCCACGTGGCCACGATCCAGAGACACACACAGAAATCTCGGGTCCAAGCAACTTGCAGCAGAGATGGCCCAGGATTTTGCAACAGGCATTCTCTGCTGGGCCACTGCTGACGGGGGGCAGTTTCCACCTCACTGCCTGCCCTCTAAGAGCTCCAGCGGTCTCCATTTTCGAGGAGCCAGCAAGAAGCACCAGCTCCCACATGGCCAGGATCCAGAGACACACACAGGAATCTCGGACCCAAGCAACTTGCAGCAGCGATTTCTTCAGACCCTAATTATTAAAATCTTAGAATCCTTAGAGTGTGTGGCCGCTCTTGGGACTGCACGACATTATATTATGTCCATAAACAAGCAATACAAAACACACTGTCTAGCAATTGTATTTTCAGCAGGTATGAGGGGTGGTAGGACTGGTCTCGCAATATTGAAGGTAACTAAAGTAGAGAAAGAATATTCTGCAAATTGTCTGCCACACAGGCAGGGGGTGGTGTGGAATGGGGGGGGGCGGATACCGGGGATTCTGATGGTGGGAAACGTGCACTGCTGAAGGGATGGGTGTTTGATAACCGTGTGATCAAAGTTTAAACATAAAATTTTTGTTATTGTATCTCACGGTGAATTAATAAAAAAATTGAAAAAAGGGGGAAAAAAAAGACTTCTGGAGCCAGCAGGCTTCAGTCACTAACAGGTATGTGTTTCATCCATCTCACCTGATGTTCCTTTTCACTTCCTTCTATTTTAATCCTCTCCCCTTCTTTGCCTTCCCATTGGAAAAGAACCAATTCTAAACCTTCTTTTAAAATGTATCTGTGAGGGCTAAAGGGACAATACATCCAACCAAACCCAACTGAATCCCCAGCACCACAGGGGTCACTTTCTGATTCTCAGCACAGGGTCAGGAATAGCCCAGAGTATCACCAGGTTGTGGCCCAAGACTCCCCCTGTAAAATAAACACACACACACACACACACACACACACACACACACACACACACCTGTGCCATCAAGCGCAAATGTTTTAAACCTTTATTTCCTCCTTTCATCCACCTCTGTGAGACCTAGACAAAGTATACCTGTGTGCTAGCACTAGTCTAAAGCCACCTTTGGCTGTTTAAAATCTCTGAAGGGGCTGGGATGTGGCTCAAACGGTAAAGTATGGTTGAGGACCTCAGTTTGATCCCTGGTACCGCATGGCTCCCCAAGTACTGCTTGGTATAGTCCCTGAGCACTACCAGGCATGAGCACCCACCAGGCTGAGCACTGCTGGGACAGCACCCCTATATTAAACAAAAAAAACACTGCAGTAGACCAGTGTTTTTTAACCTTTCTATATCAGTGTATAGAATTCCAGTACAATAAAGGTCACTCCCTCACCTTTATCCAAGCAAATTGGAAATACCCCTTCTTATACACCACACACAGGTTGATATAATGTTTTTTTCCTTTTAAACTAGCTACTGGCTCAATGACTTACAACCAAATATAAATATAAACTATGTCTTTCAGGATTCCTTAAACAATCATTAAAACAAAACAAGCACAAAAAAATTGAGCTCTTAATTAGCCCCAACAATAAATGGACAGGCAGCCAAAATAATTCAAAATGCTGTGTTTCTGAATTTTTTTGGTTGGGCTTCCATGGAAACAAAAGCCTATGGGGGAAATGTTCCAGGCCCGTCCTAAGGGAAAGAGTGGCTGAGAGACGGACAGGTGGGTAAGAACAGTCGCGTTTCATGGACATGAGACTGGAGCACATCTGCAAACAGTGCAGTTCTTCTAAAGTGAGAAGAACTAATAACCATCTTATACCAGGCAACTATTCCTTGCTTCTGCTTTTTTCAGTACAGGCATATTTGCCAGCCAGGCTTCTCTTGTGCCAGCTGCACTCAAAAGACGGCAGGCTGGCACGAGACGCTCACTGTGGGCCAGCACGTCACAGCTTTCCTCTGTGTAGAGCCAACAGGCCCAGAGAGGTGTTCAAATCAATTTCTGCCCTTCTGAATAATGTGATCTGAGAAACAAAGCGAATACCATTCCTGGGCTGAGTTACATAATACTTGACAGGAGTTTTAAATACAATTAAAAATCACTGCCTTCTAGAGAAAGTATCTTATAATGAGAATCATTTGAGGAAAAAAGTACAAACGTTGGCTGCTAGACAGCCGGTCACTACTGAATAATTTTTCATTACAAAATACAACACCAAGTGCGGTTGTGACTTACATCAGATCAGGGCGGTATCTGTGGATAATTGCACATAGCGCCAGGCCACTTTTCCAGGACATGGTGAGATCTGTCACGTTGACCCCTGCGTAACCATCTGTTTGCCTCTGGCACCAACCCAGCAGTTTGCTTGAACGAGCTACAGACTCTAAAATGACCAAAAATAAATGAACCAATAAATTTCAAGTTAAAAAAACATTACTGATTGGGGATAGAATGATAGCACAGTGGGTAGGGCGTTTGCCTTGCATGCGGCCGACCCGGGTTTGATTCCCAGCATCCCATAGTGTCCCCCAAGCACCGCCAGGAGTAACTGCTAAGTGAAGAGCCAGGAGTAACCCCTGTGCATCGCCGAGTGAGACCCAAAAAGGAAAAAAAATTACTGATAATGCAATTTCCTAATAGCTTTGACAGAGGATCATCACCTTCTTTTGGGAGCGGGGAGGGGGGGGCCCCAAATGGTGCTCAGATCACCAGGAGTATCCCTAATGCAGACTCTCATTACCTGCTAGCGACTCAACCAAACACAACATCATTTCAGTGCGAGAATCTGAGAGTTCGATGTTGCTCAGGCCTCGCAGGGCCATGGCCAAGCAGTGCTCAGAGGCCGTCAGGTTACATCCTAGATACTCCAGGAACCATCTGCTGCTGGGAATCATACCTGGGTTGGGCCTGTGCTAGGCAGGCACCCAAACTGTTGGAGTGAAAGCGCATTTATTCATTTCTGATAAATCTGTGGGTTCTTGAGAATTGTATGAAAGTACACAAAACTCAGATGCTTAGGGAATTCGAGTTTATTCAAGTAGATGGGCCTGGATCCCTCACGTAAGGCATCACTTGTCCCATCTCTGGTCTCAACGCCTGCGGTGTATGATGACCTGATCTTTTCCTACATTCTCTACTCAATCCCCATGCTGATCTGAAACCAGCTGAGCCCTGTCATCCGAGTCCCTCTGCCCGGGAACCTCTCCAGGACTGTACCCCAGAGGCTCCCTGTGGTCCACGGGCACATGGGTAAGATGCTTGCTGTCTGTCCAGGTGTAAAGGCACAAAGAGCTAGCTGCCTGGCCCATGGCTTCCTTTTACCTGCAGCTACCTTCTATTTTGATTCAGTATCTTTTCAGTGGGCAAAACTCAAAATGACCAAATGGACGAACTAGTTCACCTAGTGCTCCCCCTCCCCCTCCCTCTGTATCGTCAGCACTGAGCCCTAGGATCCTTCCTGTAGTATACACATCTGGCTTGGAAAATTTCAAGTTCATGTCAAAATTGTCACTGATATTTAAACGTGTGCACACTGTAACTGGTATCACGATTAGAATTTTAGGTAAGTAAGAAACGACCAATTCATCTAGACTCTGAGCAGAACGGTAAGCCCCACCCCAGGCCGAGGTACCCTATTCCTGTTGAAACCCAGTGTGCCACAGCACCTTTCAATCCTTGCTCAGATAGATGAGCACCTTTTTTGCAGTAATCCTAAGATTTCCCTGAAGAGTTGCTTGTCAGTAGGCCGAGGAATTGCCTTCCCTTCAAAGTTACACTGGGATTAGATTAGAAAAGGCTCCATTCTACTAGCAAAACGTTAGACAACAGCAAACACGGGGCCAGAGAGACAGTTCAGTGGGTATAGTGCTTGCCTTTCATCCGCCATACCTGGGTTTGATGCTCAGCCCCCGATGTGGTCCCCTTAGTCCACCAGGAGTGATCCCTAATGCGGAGGCATGAGTAAGCCCTGAGCACCACTGGGTATGGGCCCCCTCCCAAATAAATAAATACAAAACAAAGCTTGCTCTTACAAGGACCCCAGACCAAAAAAAAAATCCCTTCAGCTGGCACACTGAATCACAAAATACTACACACTGAAAACCTGAATATGCAGGTACCTGGATGTATTCCAGTGCAGTGATATCTATTCTAAAACATGAACAGTCTTTAAAAATTGCATTGGGGGTGAGGTGCGGGGGAGCTAATAGAGGAAACAGGGGTAATATGCTTTGGGACCTCAGTATTATTCCTAGCACCACATGGTCCCTTAAGTACCAATGGGGTAATCCTGATGACCCTTGAGTACTGTTTACTGGGCTCTGTCTGAGAGAGTACTTGCCTACATTACCCACCAAAAAGCCTATGTTCTTTTATTTATTTGGGGGGTGGGGATGGTTTGGGACAAATTCCATGGTGCTCAGGGAACTACATACAGGAATCAAACTATATACCAGAAATCAAACCAGAGTTGGCTGCATGTAAGGCAAGCACCTTAAACCCTGTACTATTCCTATGGCTCCCAAATTATGTTTTTCTTAATTGTATCAGAAGAACTTTGAGGGCTGGAGCGATAGCATAGGAATAAGGTATTTGCCTTGCACGCAGCTGACCCAGGTTCGATACCAGGCACCACAGGTGGTTCTCCAGCACTGCCAGGACTGATTCCTGAGCAGAGTCAGGAGTGAGCCCTGAGATTACTTGGAATGTGGCCCAAGCCCCCAACCCTTAAAAAGAACAATTCTGATACAGAACATTCAGAAAAACTGGTTATCTCAAGTCTGTATTCAAGGAAGTCTGTTTTGTCTTGTACAAAGTTATTTTGAGATTTGTAAACATAAGAGAATAAAAACTGCCTATCACAATAATCCTGATCCTCCAAGTTCCACTTACATTTCTGTTACCAACTCCCCAAGTCCACTGTGATCCTGGCTCTTCCTCTGTTAGAGTACCATAATCTGTTTATTTTCAGATGTTGAGATTAGACTACAGTATTTCAGAATTTTTAAGAGTCAGGGTCCAGAGAGACAGTGCAGCAGGTAAGGCGCTTGCTGTGTACACGGTTGACCTGGGTTTAATCTCTGGCACCCCCTATATTCTCCCAAACTGGCCAAAAGTGATCCCTGAGCATAGTGTCAGGAGTAAGACCTGAGCACTGCCAGGTGTGACCCAAAAACAAAGAGACAGAAAAAATTTAAAGTAGTAACAGTGAACAGACACATCCCAAGATAATATCAGAGTTAATAATGAGGATGTGTCAAAATGATCAAAATAAAAATCAACCACTCCTATACCCTTTCATTTCCTTGTACAGATCAATGGTGGCATTGCCCTCAAATACCTTTCTCCTGACCAAGCGGCAGCCAAACTGTCAATGTTTATCCATTTTGTTTCCTTAATACTCTTTCTTACAAAATAATGGTAATACCATAATGGCTGTTATTTCTGATCACTCCGATATCTTGGCATTGTGAGGAAAACTCTATCTATGTAACAGAATCCTCAAGATTATAATGTTAAGTAGATCTGTTATACTGAATTCATAGACAAAGAATTCAAAAAGTCAGAGATGTCAAATAACCTTTTCAAGGTCACATACTTCAGACAAAGTCAGAGTTCTTCTAACTACACTCCACTGCCTTTTCCCTTCTCCTGTCCCAGCATCAATACCAGATTCAAGTCTTTCTTTTCCTTCTCTAGTCCATTTTAAGCATATATTCTGGTATATTCATGTAACTCCTTAAATATCTTCTGGGCCTCTTCAAAACACACAAAATTAGAAATGGCCTTCATTTTTTTTTTCTTTTTTCTGTATCTGGGCAATGTGGCAGCAGCACACTTGGTGGCGTGTGTGTGCCACGTGCCTCTCTCAACAGCATCTGCATCTGTCTTACCTGATTTAGACCAACATAACTTAGACCAAGGCTTCTCAACTTCAACATTGCTAGTATTTGGGGGGGACTGATTTGGGCTAGTAAGTTTATTAACTACAACACTGCTTGTATTTTGGGGGACTGACTTGCTAGCAAGTTTAGCAACATGCCTAGATGCCAGTAGCTACCTCTCCAAATCTGGATTTAAAAAAAAATATCTCTAGACATTACCAAATGTCCCTCTCTGACAGGCACCTGGGCTGATGACCTCTAGCCTAGACAATACTGAGCAAAATACTAGTCTGGGGTGTTAGCAGACTTATGTAAACAGACTACCTGCATTTCCAAAAGATATTACTAGAACTCACCATTACGAGTCAACTTCGGGGTAGTCCGAGAATTTACCAGGTTCTCCATTTCCAAATGAATATTTGTTTCTCCAGTATCATATAAATGGCGTACCTAAAGAAAGTTGAAAAGCCATAAAGAAGGAAAATCAAGCAACAAATTCCTACCTAGGAACAGAATGAGCTGACGGTCTGGATTACAGACTGGGCAGATATTTTACAATCTACAACAGATGCCTCGGAACTGGCTTAAGATAATACTTCCCGTCTACTAAGTAAAGGCTCAAAGTGACAAAAATGATAAATCCAAGGTTTTAGCCCATAACTCCAACCCAAATTAAATACTGCAGACAAAAATCACTTGTTTGCTATGTGCGAAATATGACTTCCACGTGTATGATTGCCACTAGCTACCAGAATTTATGACGCTGCCCTTTAAATTTTTACTGGAATATGTTGGGGTTACATTTAAATAAATATATACTAACTCTAAAAACTTGTGGTAAAATGAGCTACCTTGGGGATACAGTGGGCACGATGTTTGCCTTGCTAACACTGCTTGGATCCCCAGAAGCCCTGCGGGTGGCTAACATGGATTTGATCCCCCTGAAATACTGTAGTCTAATCTCAAGATGGTTCCCTGAGCCCCCAGGAATGATCCCTGAGTGCAGAGCCAGGAATAACTCCTGAGCACTGCTGGGTGTAGCCCCAAATAGAATAAGACAAAGCAAAATGAGGACACAAATCTCACATCCTCCACCATGTAAAAGTCCAGTTTCAGAGCCTCATGAATGATTTGGAAAAGATGCCAAGTCAAGCAAGATGAAGCTCACAGGTACACCAGTCTCTGGGGTCCCTTCAGAAAAAGGGCAGGTGGAGAACTATCCCAGTTACACAGATTCTGAAGCTCCTGGAGCACAGGGCTGCAATGTGCCAAACTCCACAACACAGACAGCCCAGCAGGAGCTCAGCAAATGAGGTGGGAAAGTAGCACCAAAGCCCACTAAGCTCAGTAACTGAAAACACCAACACAGAAGACTCAACTAGCAAAAAACAGCTCAGTAAGACTTTCATAACACCATTGTGAGATTCAACTATTTTCACAAGTCTTTCACTGAGCAGTTTCTTTGAAATTTCCCTTCCCATTTTGTTGCAATAAGCAATATAAGTAAATTACTTTGTGCCTGCCAAGGGAGCGGGAAAGGGGGTGGGTGAGAAACGGGACAATGCTGGAGGGAAGGTCACACTGGTGGCAGGGACTGGCGCTGGATCACTGAATGTTCGAGTAACTGCACTAGGAACAACTCTGCAATTTATTTGTGTTTGTGTGTGTGTTTAAGTAAACTTTTCTTTGAAAAGGAGCTGCTCAGCTATGAGAGGCTCTGGTGGTCTCTAGCAAACCATAAATGCTGTCCATTAGCATCAGACTTCAAGGATGCCTCGAACTTACCACACGTATTCAGTGAGGGCCTAACACTGAGAAGTTTAGGCAGAAAGTGAATACACACGTCCAAATTATCACCTTCCTTGGGATCATTGTAAGCTGAAAAATGTTATTCTCAATACAATAATAAGGCACTAAACATTCTACCAAAAAAATGTAGCGAGATTTAAAAAAATGACTAATAACCCCTTTTATTGTAGGAAGATCTTTTCTTTCATTTGCCTACCCAATGATCTTGTAAGTAGTCAGGAATTATTAGCTCCATTTTTACAGATGAAGAAACAAATTCATAGAAATGAAATGACCTATCCAAGTCGTGGGACCAGTGGCAAGTGGGAGTGACATTTTGTGATGAGTACATACTGTGTTTCCTCTATATGCAATACAGATTAGGAATCCTAGCTCAAGTCTATCATTTTGGTCTCATTGAAGTTTCTGTCTTCACTGCATAAATCAGATGAAAAGTGATATTTAACTCTTCCAATTAAAAAAAGATATCAACTAGGATTATGAAAACACTTATAAAATGTTGTGTATGTGTGGCATGAATTTCAGTATTTCAAGGGTGTTTATTTTCTGAAAACGCACTCACACATAAACAACTGACTAGAAAGCACTTACCTGGCTTGGTCGGAGAAAGTTGACATTGATATTTGGATATCTGGTGACAGGATCAATGCTGTATTGGCTGAAATTTTTACTCACATTCTCAGGGGTGGTTTGAGGCAACAACCTATAAATACTTTCTCTGCAATAACATACAATAATGCACTCAGAGCGGTGAGAAATATCATCACTATCTACCTCTCCTTGGATATTATTTCTGCTTTTTTGCATGCAGGCGGCCTGGTTCTAACCCTTGGCCTGGTATGTTCCCTGAGCTCTTCCCTGAGTGATGCAAGGAGCACAGAGCTGGGAGTAGCCAAGAATCTGAAAACAGAGATTGAGGGAAGGAGAGAGAGGGAAAAGGAAGGAAGCAGAAAGAGGGGGCGAGACTTGGAAGTCTCATCACTGGGTATGGTCCCCAAACAGGAAAGAATAAGGTAATGAGGGAACCAGGTAATGAGGAGAGATGGCAAGGAGGGTGAAAGGAAGGGCAATGGAAGGAAGAGAAGGAGGAAGTAGCTAAAAAAAAAAAAAAGATGGGTGGGCTGGAGTGAAAGCACAGTGGATAGGGTGTTTGCCTTGCATGAAGCCGACCTGAGTTCAATCCCCAGCATACCACATGGTCCCCTAAGCACTGCCAGGAGTAATTATTCCTGAGTGCAAAGCCAGAAGTAACCCCTGGGCATTGCTGGGTGTGACCCCCCCCCTAAAAAAAAAGGATGGGAGTTGAGGGGAAGAAGGACGAAAGCTAGGGACACTGGGACACTGGTTAGCAGAAATCTCCAACTTGAGGCTATGGGGTAAGAGTTATAAAATGTCACTGCTGAGGCAGAGAGAGTACAGTGGGCAGGGTGTTCGCCTTGCTAATAAACTTTTCTTATACCTATAATTTTCTCAGTGAACTACTTTATAAACCAATGTACCTGCTCATTACACCCAAAAGGAAAGAAAAGAAGGAAGAAAAAGACCTACTCTACCTGCAGAGTCTCAGCCCTCCCGGTGAGAGTCCCCGAGAAGGGACACACAGTTACCTCTCTGCCAGGACTTCCAAGGGGCTTGTTCCCAGAGACCAGCTCCTCACCATCCAGGCAGAGTCCATCGCAGCGAGAAAGCCCCGCGCTATTCCTGTTCCCATTGGCCAAAATGGCTAAGAAGGAAACAGAAAACCAAGAATGAAAAGAAATGACCTTTAAAAAAGAGGACCATCAGAGATTAGTACCAGGAATTTTACTCCATGGCTTGGAGGCCAACCACACATGCTAGGGGAAAAGGCAGCTCAGATAGAGAAGGGAGCACCAAATAAAGGGTGTTGGGAAGATCCTCCCAGAACGGGAGAAGCATGCTGAAAGTAGACTATAGACTAAGCATGATTGTCATCCATTGCCTCTTTTGCAAACCGCAACACCCAATAAGAGAGAGAACAAAAGGTAATGCCCTGCCACAGAGGCAGAGTGGAATTGGGGGGGATGGGGGGTGGGAGGGATACTGGGATCCATGGTGGTGGGAAATGGGCACTGGTGGAGGGATGGGTATTTGATCATCGTATAAATGAAGTCCAAGCACAAAAAAATTTTAAGTCTACAACTGTACCTCTTGGTTTATCACTAATAAAAATTAAAAAAAAAAAGAGGACCATCAAACCAATGAACAAAGGAAAGAGCCTACTACTGAGTTATTTCGCATTTCTCTACTTCACAAGCTGGTAGAGGGCAAGTAACAAAAGTCGTAGTATCCCTGCGTTCCCCATGGCTTATTATTTTTCCCTTTCTGCCGAAAGAACTCATGCAGGAGTGCAGCTACACTGCACAACTTGGGGAAGCCAGGTGTGTTCCTAACTACTAAAGCCTCCACTCTCAAGTGCTGTCCTACTTGGTACTCACCTCTAGAAGGCTGTCTCCAACCAGCGCCACCAACAGCTGGTGTCCATTGTGCTCCCGCACCAAGGCAGCATTCTCAGAGGCATACATACAAGTGAAGTCGAACATGGCCACATCTGGCTGCCCATAGTGATTGATGGCAAAATCCAGGGACGGCAGCTGCTGCTGGGTGGAGAAGTCCGCTGCCTCCCTGGCATAGTTGAGCAGTGCTTCTTGGTCCACATTCTCTCGGGAAAGCAAGAGCTCTGTGTCAGCGTAGTCCTGTGTGCAGAGAAGACAAGAGGCTTGGTATGGAAGAGCCCAGGTCAGACAAACCCAGTTTCACAGCTAGGAGAGGGCTAAAAGCCTGAGTGATGTGCAGCAGGAGGGAACCTGGTTCTGCACTGCATGGTCCCCTAGCACCACTGGGAGCAACCCCAAGAAGCAAACTGGAAACAGTCTCTGAGCTCCACCGGATGTGGCCCCCAAACAAAAACAAAAGCGACTCTTCTGAACATGTCAAAAGAGCAGAAGTTGCACTGACTTGACTGCCTAAAACCAGTCCTGGCTTTTCATTGACTTGGAACAAGTTACTACTTCTTTAATCATGTCCAACCCACCTCAGCGAGTAGGTGTGAATCCAAATAAGATAATGAATGTGATAATTTGCAAACTGAAACAGCTTTTTATAGTTTATTACTGACACTCTATTCTGGCAAGAAACTACTTTCTGACAACTGGTACCACATGAAAACACTCAGCTGTGCACAACTTATTAAAGAAGAACCCAAAGCTTCTGGGCTCAAAAGATATGGCAAGGTGGGAGCAAGGGCAGCCCAGGAGACTGCTAAAATCAAAATCAAGGTTTTAATACATCAGATCCCGAAAAGTTTTATAGAGATCCAGCAAAGAAAAGAAATAATGGGAGAGAAATAGTTTTCCACGTAACAGATAAAAACTCCTTTTCTGTTCTCAGGGTTCCTGGCATATGGATTCAAGTCTTTAGTACCCTTAAATGTACCCTAATGTTTCCAAGTATCCCTGATGGTACTTTCAGTGACCACTACAAGATCTTAAAAGCCGGAACACAAACACTCAAGCTGGTCCTGGAAAGTGTTTGTTCAACACTGAGTAAAGAGCATAATGGGTTCAGTACTAGCAATACACAGAGGCTTGGTCCCCGAATCCCCACCCCTCACCCCTGCCACCAGAAAACCCAGCAGTGCTCACCCACACCCATCTTGCTGGCTGAGAAAGATGTGGCCCAGGGTCACATCTCCAAAATAGCATGATCCTGCTGAATCTTCCCAGGAAAACTGGTTCCGTTTTCTGGGGCCTTCTCAGAATGGTGCCCGGAAGGTTCCCCTTTCTGCTAGAAGGCCCAACAGCCCACAGCCACACCTGACACCTTCCAAAACAGAGAGGGCCCAGGGGCTGGAGAGATAGCACAGTGGGTAGAGCGTTTGCCTTGTACGCGGCCGACCCGGGTTCAATTCCCGGAGTCCCATATGGTCCCCTGAGCACCGCCAGGAGTAACTCCTGAGTGCAGAGCCAGGAGTAACCCCTGTGCATCGCCGGGTATGACCCAAAAAAGTAAAAAATAAATAAACCAAATAGAGAGGGCCCAGCTCCACAACTGAACCTCATCCAACTGCCACTGCTAAGCCACCAAATCATTCCAGATCTGCAGCTCCTGGATCACATGACACCTCTTACTTTCCTAGTAGGATCACAGTAAATCTGACTAGAAAGTTGCACAGAAGCCCACCAAGCTCAATGAGTCTACGCAATAGCAAGCCTCAACTAGCACCAGCCAGCGCAGGAGATCCTCAGACAATCACCTAAGTAACATCACTTTGAGATACAACAATTATCATAATTGACTCTTATTGATCTAAGCTTTAATAATTCCATTTTCCTTTCTGTTGTAAAAACAATACAAAGTAAGTTTGTGCCTGCAAGGGGGCTGCTGGGGGATGGGTGGGAAGCTGGGAATGCTGGTGCAGAGAAGGTCTCGCTGGTGGGGAAATTAGTGTCAGAACAATTAATGCCTGAAACAACTATATTATAAACAACTTAGCAAATCATGGTGTTATAATAAATTTTTTTTACATAAAGAAGAGATGGTCCCGCCCTTTCCAGAAATATAAAAGATAAAGTAAACCATCATTCTAGGCCGGTCCTACAAAATTTCAATCACAATAGTTCTAAGTTATATGCTATTTGGTTAAAATGGGGTATGATGGTGCTGGGCACTGAACCCACGTCCCCACACATGCAAAGTGTCTAATGCTGAACTACAGCCCCTGCCCCCATAATCTGTTTAATACGGTAGATTGAAGTCTTTTCCCTCATGCTTTTCTTGGCAAATTTATGTTTTAACTTTAGTGCCAAGACATACCAATTGATTGATGGTTCTTCTCTGGGGGATCACACGCTTTGCCGGATCATTATCACTCCAGCACCTGACTGCTATTACTTAAAAGAATATACTATGATCAGATATTCAACAAGCCAAACTTATAGAGCAGTCAACCTAATAAAGCTCGCATATGCTTTGAGCAGACTGAGCTGCACAAACTGCTTTGTCCTGTGGTTCCTTCTACACGTATATAAAAGTCTATGAGTGAGACTCTGAAAGGAGACCGATACAGGCCATGATCAAGAGCTCGCCTTCACCCTGCTCTCAGATAGGGCAACAGTGTAATTCAGACTAAAGTGACTTGGTTTATAATTATTCTGCAAAGAAAAAGGACACCCTGAAATTGTGGCTGAGTCCTGGCAGGAACTGTATAGGCCCTAATCAGCACATCCCAGGCCTCTCCTACCCTTCTTGTCACATGAAAACAGCAATTCTCATATTCAGGTCAAATAAGACAAGACGCTCTAAAGAACAAAGAATGATTCTGATCCCATATTCAGTTCATCATCTTATGCACCTGAGCGAACTTTATCATCTGGGAAGGAAGCTGGGCTGTCTCTGCCAAGGACAGACAGGAAGCACTTACTCTAGGTCATCAAGTGTTCAAAACAAATTCTAATGCAGTCAGAGTCCCTGGGACCTCTGTTAACTACATCTGTAGTATGGTTTTGATCAGAACCATACTGATTTTAATCAGTCCATTCTCAGGCTTTCAGAAATATCAACTACTGCTTCTTGTCAACATTCCTTCCCTCCATCACCCCTGCCCCAAGGAGACTTGTCAGACAACCAGCATCAGTCATCTATGGAATGCACTCTGACCACATGTGGAATCACCCACATTAAACTAAGTATTTACATATTAAATGTTACCAAAATTTGCTTTTCAACAGTCCAGTGGCAAGAGTGTGGAGTGGGTACCATTCCAACAATATTGATCATATACTGATAACTTAAGGCCATTGGCCCATGGGGTTTCATTCCCTAGCAAGAAAAACTCATCAGATAATAAAATTATTTCTTTTGGTGAGCAAATTAACAACTGAAGCTTTAAAGGAAATTTAAAAGAAATCTATTACTTACATGCAATATCACCCCTTTTTCCAATAAACTCTGCTTTTTGGCTGTCATAACAAAATAGTGTGTGTCATCTTTGTAGTAGACAATGTTCTCTAAATCAATGCCTAAAATAGAAAACAAACATGTTCCTGTAAGAGTTTACTAAGATGAAGGCATAGTATGGTAGCTAAAAGATTAGATGTGGGAGACCAGGGTTGTGAAATTCTGAACAAGGTAAACAAACAAAAACAAACAAAAAAACGCGAGAAATCAAAAAACCATGAGAAACCAAATTCTCACTTTCTGTATACCAAATTCTCACTTTCTGTGTATTTGGTTCCTGAAAGGGGAGCTGTGTTTCTCCTTGTACTGCTCAATAAGTCACCTGACATCCCAACCGATCTTAAAAATAAAGATTTGTACCAAGCAGAAATATAAAGATGGGACACAAGGTAGCTCAGTGGGCTATGTGCGTGCTCTCTACAGAGAAGAGCTGGGTGCCATTCCCAGCACATGGCCCCACAAACACTGCTGGGAGTGACCTCCCTAAATACAGATGAGCCAAGCGTAGTCCCAAAGTCTAGATAAATAAATGAAAAGCAAGAAAGATAGGAACGGGATTTGGGTTAGTTCTTTGCTAGTCACTCATGAAGGAAACAGACTCTCGGGGGATGGGTGCCTTGCTGGCAGTGCTGCGCTGGGTGGGGGCTGTGTGTACCCAGCAGTGTTCAGGGAGCCATATGTGGTACTGAGATGCCAGGGTCAGGTGCATGCAGGTAGGCGCCCTGACATCTATCTCTCCAGCCCCTCTAAGAACAGAAGAGATAACAATATACCTGAAGCAGAGAGTAAATTATTGACTACTTCCGTCAATTACAAAAACAAAAGAGGAGTGGAAAATAGTCATGTTCTAAAAAACAGAGAATTAGAACTTGTTGCAACAAAATGTTCATCCAAACAAAAGCTATCACAACAACCTCATGCTATCTAGCACTTGGTTTGCTTCAAGCCCAAATCAGAACTCAAGAAAACTAAAAGTCAGCGCCTGAAGTCAGGTTCTCAATAAGCCAAAGGGCATCCTGCATCAAGCACCTTCACGGATCGAAGGGAAAGAGATTATATTCACATTATGAAGAAAGGGATTTGAGATACCAAAAAAATCAAGTGCAGGGCAGCCGGTAATTGCAGTTAGGACAAAGGATATGCCAGACAGCACATGAGAGTGAAGAAAGAGCAGAGAGGGAAGCACATGGCGAGGACCCTAGCGACACCCAATGCCAAAACCTTGAAAGACCTTGACTGGTTATTGACATGTCTTCCTCACTGATTTGGAGGCAAGTACACACACCTGTGGCTTCTCTCAGCTCCTGGAAAAATTTTTGGTTGAATATAAAAGCCACACCACTGATCTCCTCCACTTTGGCTTCTGCTGTTGTATTTCGGTTAATAAAGTTCGCTGTAATGGCAATGGCTAATTTGCCACGGAATTCCTTCCGACGGAATCCTGAAAGAAAAGGAATTTTCAGAGGCAACAGTCGGCTAGAAAAGAAGGGGTATCACTTCAAATAGGAGGGTGTTGACGAAGACATTAAGCAACACTAGAGGTGAGGTGGGGATCAATGAAGAGATTTTAGGGCAGCGATTCTCTACCTGCAAATAACAGTCATAAGCTTTAGTGCTACCTACCAAAACATATAACTACCCAGATAGAAGAGAGAGTTTCCCGACACTGACCATTTGAAACCCAACTGAGCAGACTATCGCTCACCACCAGGGATTCCTTTTTCTTGTTGCTGTTGTGTTTTTGGCCATGTCCAGCTGTGTGGCAGGGCTTCTCCTGGCTCGGTGCTTGGGGAATCATGCAGTAACAAGGATGAAATTTGAGGCTTCTGCACACAACACACATATTCCATCCTTCTGAGCTCCCTTCTGTCTGGGATTCCATTTTTGAAAAGGGAAAGTCAGGAGCTAGGGGTGTAGTTTAGTGGCAGACTGTGTGCTCTGCACGTTCAAGGCCCTTGGTTTGTTTGATGCACATTACATAAATGAAACCAAAAGTTAGCACTGGCCTATTAACAGTACCAGCGTCAATGTACGCATGTCTTCAGCTAGCCTGAGGAAGGCAGGGGCCTGTCGTGCAGAGTAGGCAGCAATCCTATGTACACTCTTTGATCATGGCATCTGCTGGCAGGTTCTCACGCAGGTTAGGAGAGGGTTACCCAACACTTGATAGGGAAGAAGGAGAGACAGTACCTTCCAAGGTGTTCCTACGACCATCCCCTCCGATGATCACTTCAAATTCATATTCTGATACAGGATGGGTTTTGGGGTGTACCAGTGCCCGCCAACCTATTCCTGTGGACCAAAGTCAAAATAAAGTTCATCACCCAGGACATATTCATTGTTCTAAACATCTCTAAATACGCAGAGAGGCACAATGCACAAAACACTAACCAAGTCAAAAACACTAGGTGTAAAAGAATAGGGTACAAACCAGAAAGTTTTCAAGAGGGCTCACGAAACTCTGCTGCCCACCAGATGGTTTTCTATAATGAACACCTGCAGTACCTAACACTCTACCAAGACCTTCTTTATCAAACAGAAAATTTCTCCAAAGGTTTTGACTGTATAAGCAAAGAACCCTTTAATATATTTGAAAACAACATATAGATTCCTGCAATTTCCCTCTCTTTCTCATCCATTCAACACCCTTTCATACTTCCTTCATTGCGCCAGTTCAACTCACGTTCATTTTCTTGGTCCTCGGGTGGCTGTACAAGTCCTTGGAATTCTACATTCACATGGATTTCGATGCCTAGAATCAGGGCTACTTTCAAAAGTATTAGTTGGAGTTGACGGATACCTGCGAGAACACAAAAAGCCCATGAGTGCAGCACTCTGAGGAGAGGGTACCAGGTGGCAACCGTTGCTTAGCTTCCTACCAACTACCTGAATATGCAGTTTATTCAGCTCCTGCAAGCCTTCTGTGGTGGAAACATTTTCTAAGTAGTGCCTCATAAGTTTTTCTTCTCTTTTCTAGGGAAATTAAGCTGAATAGAGGAAATACTCCAGAGAAATTTGCAAGGCCACGCCTATCATTAAGTGTTCAGTACAACCAAGAGCTGAGAAAACAGGAGACTGTGGCCAAGAGGGACTTTCCTTTTCACCTTCTGTGTATTCAGTCAGTGCTGCAGTTATTTAGCATATGCTACTATTCTGACATAACAAGGTGCTTAACAAAGCAGGCAGAAGATATGCATCCACAGGGGTGCTTTCAAGTTTGATACACAGGGGCTGCACTATTTGCTAAGATTTCCATAGCATTCCTCATCCTGTTAGCTCACTGATCTTTACAAATTACAAGGTAAGAACCTTTGCTCAACCCAACCTTAGCTTGTTACAGAAACTAAGGCTCAGATTGTTGACAATTCTTGCTCACTGTCACACTGAGATTTCATTATTTAATGCTCAGTGAGTATTCACAAAGTGCTAGACACAGCAGCAGCCCCAAGAATGCTGAGATAAAATATCCAGTCCCTGCTTTAGCAGCTCCAAGTCAAATCCTGCCACACACGAGACACATTCATTGAATTAATGGTCTACGGTCCTCTCTATTCTACCTGCAGACTGATCTGCTAAGAGTACCTCATTTACTTTCCCACAACCATAGTCCTGATCTCACTCCCAAGGACTCATTAAATCTCCTGCTAGCCTGTTTTTTTATATTTGTGCTACTATGATTGGCTACAAGGAAGCCTTACACATAGCAATGCCTTTACATATCTTGGCAGAAGGGTAGAGTGCTTCCTCTGCCAGAGGAATGTGGTGGCTGTTGGCTAATGATAATTGGCACAAGCACTCTAAGTAGCAAGAGATCCAATAGTTGAATGTATTTACAGGAAATATCTGGAAATGTTCAGAACAGTTCCTTGATAAGGCTTCCCTCGACATCACTAATGATAATCAATAAGCAAGACTTCAATTTCAGGGTACTGATCAGCAACTCTTCTGAATTTCAATAGTTCACACTAGTCATGAAAGGAAAACACTTCTGTATTTACTTGTATTTCATTATGTAGCAGAATGAAATGATCTTCAACCTCCTAAACTACTGATCCAATGCTGGTCTTCAAGTATATAAAAAAAAATTGAAGCCATGTTACAGGACAAATACAACTCTAGGATCTCAAAAATAAACTGCTCTGTAGAATCTCCAAAATCTTGAAGATGACAGGAATAAAATCAAGAGTATCCTCATATTAGACCTCCCAAGTACCACACAGCCAGAGAAATTCCATGATTCGCTTGCCAGTTACAACCGACCTGGAAACCTGCTTCTTTTCATAACTGTGTTTCTCTACTCTAGGGCTGTGCCACCATATCATCTTGTTCTTACATTCCTGATAACACATACCAGTAAAAATTTAAGATCAAACTGAGAAGCTAAACTCAGTTTCTGGTAGTCCGAGGTTACTTGGCAAGTATTCCGACCCAGGCAGAGTACACTTATTTCAATATGATAGACACTGCTGATATTAGAAAAAAAAAAAACTGGGCTATTGAGTGTGAATTCCTCACCTGCCAGCCTCTTTCGACTGAACAAGAAAACGAATAAGGAGTAGAGGTTCAAGAAGAGAACTGGTTTTACTTACTGATATGGTCAATAGCTCCAGCACAGAACTTGCCGTAAAACTTCTTGGCACCCAGTCCTCTGAGATCATGTATGGTGAATGGCCAGAGATGTAAAACATTGTTTCGGGAGAAGGCATCTCGTTTCTCAATAACCACCACCTTGGCTCCCAATAAGGATAAGTCGATGGCTGTGCGAAGACCACAAGGGCCAGCTCCAATGATGAGACACTGAAAAAACATAGCTGCTTTCAGGGAGAAGGCAGCAACTCTTGAGAATTCCACATTTCTAGAAAAGTCTTATCTCACCACCACTTTTCGTAGAGACCTAAATTAGAGTATTCTCCCAACTACCAGGAAGCCCTGAAAAGCATTTGAGTCACAGCAGAACATCATCACCAGGGGCTGGAGGTCAGCTAATGACTGCTATGAATGGAAAAGGCTCTTGTCATAGTGGACATAACCTGGCATATGTTCACCTTGAATGCCTGGCAAAGCAAGTATATCTGAAACCCATTGAAATGGGTCATCACTTCAACAAAATTGGAAATTACATCTCATATTTCATCAGTAGGAAAGAACTGGTTGAAAAGTTTCTTAGCCAAGCAGAGTTTTGCCTTGGGAAGACAAAGATAATTAAATACGCAGTCCAGGCAATCATTAAGAATCTGCAAATCCAAAAGTGATGAACAAGTTGCAGAGATGCTTCCGGATCCTGCACCAAGCAAAGTCATCTGGGACACCCAGAAGAGGGGCAGGTGGGTGAGCCCATCACACGTCCAAACAGAACTGAAGCAGAGAAAATCTCCAAACTCCACAATCTCCGCCATATTCATGGCCAGACTCCACTGCTTGGGACAAGCCTCATCCAGAAATTGATCTGTTGAAAAACTCAGGTATGTGGGTTTTATGACTGAAATCTCCTGGCTTTTACAGATCTGGGGATTGGTTACCTCCCCCCATCTCCCTATTCTTTCAGAAGCCTGGCGGTCATGCCCAGGTACTGCTCCTGGTGCCAAATAAGGTCATTAACCGGCCATAATCCGAGACTTAGCAATAAGTCTCAAAAGCAATCAATAAGCTGCAGAGATGCTTCCAGACCCCATGCCAGGCTCTGTCATCCAGGCCACCCAAATTCCTGGAGTGTGCAGTCAAGAGACATCTCTACACTACTGATAAACCAGGAATAGCAGACCACATTGGATAGAATGTAAAGTAGAAGGCAATCAATGAATGACTGTGGGATATAAATTATCCATATCTATATCTATCATATCTATCTATCTATATGTATATATATATATTTATATGAGACTAATATCCAAGGTGAGGGTAAATGGGCCAGGAAGACAGGTCAATGGATGGATGCTTGCCATATGAGTGTGTGGAGAATAAAGGGCACAGGTGAAGGGATACCTGATAACCTTTTATTATCTGTATTGCAAACCACAAGGCCCAAAATGGGGGAGGGGGGAGGGAGGGAGAGGGAGAGGAAGAGAAAGGGAAGATGGAGAGAGAGAGAGAGAGAGAGAGAGAACGAGAGAATGTCACTATAGTGGCAGGCATTGGGATGGGGTGGAGGAGTGGAAGGGAAACTGGGACCATTGGTGGTGATGAAGGGATGGATGTTGAAAGATTATATGACTGAAATCCAATCATGAACAACTTTGTAAACGTGTATATCACTGTGACTCATCACGACATCACGACCATCCTGTTATTCGTCGATTGCCTCGAGCAGGCCCCAGTAACGTCTCCTTCGTCCTAGCCCCGAGATTTTTTAAAAAGTGCCATATTCAAGGCTCTTTCAGAGTTAGGAGAATGAGACCCTTCATTGTTACTGGTATTTGGCATATTGGGTACGCCATGGGGAGTTTGCCAGACTCTGCCATGTGGGTAGGTTACATTCAGTAGCTTGCCAGTTTGTCCAAAGTAGGAATGAGATGATAAGATGTCGCGCGGCCGCGCACTTCCGGGAGCTGGGTTTTATAGTCTGAGTCTTGGCCGTTGATGGGATTACATGGCGCCAGGGGGCCAGTTGGTGGGTGTGACCCCTGCCTACTGGAATTTGGAGGATCTGGGTGGAGGATGCCCAGCCCGATCCGAGTAGGCTTGGAGATCTCGGCCCCGGGACCTGCATGCCTTTATCCCCCTGCCAGTACCTTCATGTGTGCAGAAAGCGGTCTCAGTATGGTGGTGGCTGGTTCTGGAGCCCTGGTCGGGGCGGGGAGGGAAACTCAACCCGCCGAAGACCTCCAGAACCACTGTGATTCAATTTTTTTAAAAATGCAAAAAAAAATTTTTTTTTAAAAAAAAGGTACTCAATCTTGATTAAGAAAATTTAAACACAAAGCTTAACTTGTACCATGTTAGTAACCTCTTCTACAAGGGCTTCATGTCTCCATGGTGCAAATCAACAATATTTACCCACTTTCTTCTAAGGAAAAACCTTTTGATCATTTTTATCGAATTACAACAACCAATATAAAAGAAATTACTCAGGGCCTGCTATAGGAGTAGGCTTGAGAAGTGGGTGGGAAAATTGGGAATAATGGTGGTGGGAAGGTGAACAGTGGTAGGATTAGTGTTGGAATATTAAATGTAATAAATTATGAACAACTTTATAATAATTTTTTTAAATTACACACACACACACACACACACACAAGAATCTGAGAATCAGTTCACAATGATTCCCAGGAGGAAACTTTTAGTAGACAAAGTTTTATGTATGTGCCAAAAAGAGCCCCGAACTTTCTGAAGACCTGAATCATAAGTCGACACTCTAAAAATCTGAACTAGTTTGTACTGCATTTTCAGAAGAATGACACCTAACATTTGGGCTTTGTTTTATTCTTATCATTTTGGTTTTTTTTGGATCATACCCAGAAGTGCTCAAGGGCTACTCCAAGCTGTGCACAGGGAACCATAAGATACCCAGGATTGAATCCTGGTCTTCTGCATGCAAAATATGAACACTTTTCTTCTTAAAAAACTTCTAACTTCCTCATTGAAGTCATGTATTTGAATTTTATGATTTTTTCCTAATAAATATGTACCAAAATACAAATATACAAGGGGTGGGTCTCCAGTTATCCACAGGAAGGCAAATTAAAACTCATAAAAAGATTGTTAGCAGACATAATATCATTCACACTACATTCCTGACAGTATTTTCCTGATTTCCCATAGGTATTCTTAATAAGGAAGAAACAAAAAAAATGTAGTACTCCCTCTCCACTCTTCAAACCCACATGTCCAGTCTATTTCACGAAAACTGTTTTAAGTTTAGAATTGTTTCTAGATTTAAAGAAAGAAATCAGAAACTATATTTGTCAGGCTGGAGACATAGTACAGCAAATAAGGTGCTAGCCTTGCACACAGTCAACCTGGGTTCAACCCCTGGCACTGCATATGGTCCCTGAGGACCAACAGGAGTGATCCTGAAAGCAGAGCCAGAAATAAGCCCTGAGCACTGCTGGGTGTAATCACAAAGCAAAACTTACTGACCAAAGTGACCTTTGGCATTCAAATGCAAAGAGGACTGAAGCCTGGTGCAAATCCCCCAGACCTGGCAAATACTGTAACAAGCCATCATGACTTGGTGAAGATGATATGCCCAAACCATCAGACAGTATGCCAACAGAGCTATAAGTGATTTCTCGGCTAAGTGAGCTGCATTCCCCCTCAACCTGAGATCCAAAAAGATCAATAAAACGTACCTTAACCACACAACTTCAGCTTGTTCTTCAATAATTAAGACCCTGCAAACTCAATATGCAAATATACAAGATATATTTGGAACAGGACCTGGCATATGGAACAGTCAAATGAACACAGAGAATGGAGCCAGATCCATGAATAAAGGATATGCTTGACTTCTTCTAAAGGCTGTGGTTAGATATTCCTTGATCAAACCATAAGACCTACTCAGTCGTTTCTTCTGTTCTACCTATACGCAGTTTTGTCTTTTCTGGTTAAATCCTAAATCAGTGTCTCCGGAAGACCGTCAAAGCCTTACCTTGGTGTTAGTGCAAGCTTTTCCCTTTTTGTAGTCTTTATGGCTCCCCCGTTTGTCCAGCTTTGCCCAGAGGGCTTTGGCTTTCCAGTAGTTAAGCTTGGATTTGAGTTTGTGATAAAAGGAACGGTAGTCCTTAGGCTTCAGCTCCAGGTGGTCACAGAGTTCTTGGAAGGTCTTGAGAGTTCCTTTGCAGGTGGTGGCCTGAACAAACCGGTCAAAGAGGACATGAGCGCGATTTCTTGTCTCCTTACTCCCCTCCATGCTTCCCCACTGGCGGGAACTCCCCTCAGCACAGAGGGCAGTGGGACGCAGCTGATCCACCTGACACCGTCAAGTTAACCTAACAAAAAAAGAAAAGGAAAAAGGAATGCTCAGAAAATGCAAATTTAAATCTGCAAACATTTTCTAGAAGACGTAAGTTACTTTTCCCTAAGTAGTAAAGTCATTCACCCAACATCCAATACAGAATGTATACTCTGTAGACTCCAGGCTCCTGTCTGAGGACCAAGGAAAAGGAGTGAAAAGATGTTTTCAAAAGAATCTTCATTTTTATGAATGAGACAAACTCTCGAGAGGTTACACATGAGGCTAAGTGTACTGTACTGAGTGATTCTCAGCCAATCAGGCCAGAAGTTTGCTGTAAGGACACGGAATAAAGACCTCAATCGCCCTCTAGATCGGCAGTGGCTCAGCGGCCTCCAAGATCACACTCACTGGTGCTCAGAAGATGATGTGGTGCTGTGAATTGAACCTGTCAGCCCATGCAAGGTTTAACCACTGTAACTATCTTTCTGACAACCTCCCCCCTCTATTTTTTTTAATCAGGGCCATTGGTAACTGGGACTAATTCCTAGCTACAGTTGGCACCATGGCTAAGATCTGATGCTTTGGTACACGATAATGTAATGCTGCTCAAGCCCAAAGGTGTTCTCAGCGTGAGCACCTAACCTACCTTCTGGCTTAGCCATGTGCTCCCTTATCTATTTACTCTCTTGAATTTGTTTGATCATTTGGGGCACCGAGTATTATGTATTTATCATCACTACTTAGATATACTTCAGGACAGTCAGATGCAAAGGGCCCAAATTATAACTAACCATAGGAAATTCAGAGAAACAGGGCAGAGCAATGAGATAACCACTAGATGCTGATGACCCTACATGTGCTGAGACCCTAAAGAAGGCACTGTCTCAATGGCCATGAGTTTTCCCTGATAAAAGAGAAGGTTAAACTGATGTCTATAATGCTCTTTCAATTTTGAAATTTGGGGTATAGTGCTGAGAGAGCTGTCTGCTGCAGATACACCACCAATGTGCCACTAGTGTGACGGAGCTGCAATTGAAGGAACACTATTTTAAGAAGACACTTTTGGGCATAGAGAAACACTCAGAAGGGATTTGTTGATTACTCTGTTCATAAGGAATCTGAAGAAAGAAACAAACCAATTTAGTGAACAGAAGGTAGAGGGAATAACTGCACTAATACAATGAACAGCCACTTCCCCTCTTAGATGTTCCAGTTAACAAACACAACATTTGAAAGATATTCTTTATCACAAATATAACAACTGAAGTACACTAAGTACACTAAGTCAACACATAGTCAACAGGTTCTTGGAAACTATGATTTTAGGTAAAGTAACATATAACAAAATCAATCTTACTTAATCTAGTATCTATCAGCAGAAGTTAAATTCCAACAGCATATTTTTGGTCACAGAAAGTATCACCACACTTCTAAATAATGATCTAAAAATACTATGTTTAGCAGTCATTTGGACTCATTCATTCATTTTTCAACCTGCTTATTTCAGTTTAGTCTCAAGTAGTTTGTGAGCATAGGAAGGTCCAATCTTGGACAGAATGCCTTTCTGCAGCACAGCATATTCAAAGACCTAGGCTCACTCTGATGGAGCAAGTTAGACAGACCAGACCCTAATTTCCTAAGCAGATGAGAGAAGAAAACCAAAGGACTAGGAGAAAAGTTTACACAGACATGGAAAGAGTATCTAAAAGTTCACAGAGACTCTGGTCCTGGCTAGAAAATCGACACCCAGAACCTGAATCAATGGCACAACAAAATGTTGAACAAAAGAATATTCAAGGACCTGCTATATTACTTAACAACTCTCCTGACTCTGAATATAAAAACTACACTGACAGAAAAAGACTCTCTTAATATCCCCATGTTCAAGGGTCATTCAAGAAATGAAATTAGGAGCAAGAGTGGGAGAGTTTAAGCGGAACCTCACTTTGAACTCTACCATCATGTGGTGTCCAAATACCACTTGGCTACAGCCCTGAGAGCCCTAAACTCCACTGGGCCCTGAGCACCACCAGGAAGCTGTACCACATACCCAGACTCGAGTATTGAACTCTCAGTGCATTTGACTAAGGGAGGGAAGGAAGGAGGGAAGGGAGAAAGGAGGAAATTAAATGGAACTAACCTTGTTTCCCATAAGGAAAAGTTTATACTAGATAAGCAAGAAAGATTTTAGCTCAAATTTTATTTTTATTTTAATTTATTAAACATTTTAGCCCGTTCTCTGAGACCAGGATTTCTGGAGCCTTTTCAGGACGGGGGCTGACCAAGTCCCTGCCCTGTTGTGCCCAGGGCTCTACCCACACTTGACTCCTTGCTGGTATATAAACAGTGCAGCTGAGACGGCATGCTGCTGAATCATCCAAGTCCCACAGTTCCTGGAGCATGTGGCCACCTGTGTCACAGCCCTGACAGCCCAGTCGGAGCACATAAATTTAGGTGGGAAAGCTGGGTAAGATGCCCACTAAGCTCAATGAGGGAAAACAGTATCTAGCAGTAGAAGACTCTACTAGTACCTAACAGCTCAGTAAATCCTTGGACAATGACTTTAGAAACACCATTATGAAATAGATGTTGTAACAAGAAAAGTAAATTATTTTGTGCCTGCCAAGGGAGCAGGCTGGAGAGGTGGGTGGGTAACTGGGGACAATGGGAGGGAAGGTCACACGAGTGGTGGGATTGGTGCTGGAACACTGAATACCTGAAATAACTGCATTATGAACAACATTTGTCAATCGCAGTCTTTAAACAATGTTTCAAACGTCAAAGGCATTCTAGGGGCTGGAGCTATAGCACAGTGGGCAGGGCATTTTCTTTGCACAAGGTTGACCTGGTTCAATTCTCAGCATCCCATATGGTCCCCCAAGCACCGCCAGGAGTAATTTCTAAGTGAGGAGCAAGGAGTAACCCCTGTGCAACGCTGGGTGTGACCCCCACCCCCCAAAAAAAAGCATTCTAAAGTTTCTTTTAAAAGTCCATTATGGGGGGCTGGAGCGATAGCACAGCGGGCAGGGCATTTGCCTTGCACGCGGCCGACCCAAGTTTGATTCCCAGCATCCCATATGGTACCCTGAGTACTGCCAGGAGTAATTCCTGAGTGCAGAGCCAGGAGTAACCCCTGGACATTGCCAGGTGTGACCCAAAAAGAAAAAAAAAAGTACATTATGGGGAACCACAGCACCAGTACAGAATGGTTTTCTGCTTGCCTTGCATGAGGCTGACCTAGATTCAATCCTTGGCCCCTGATATAGTCTCCCAAGACTCTGGCTAAGGAATGACCCCTGAGCACAAAGCTGGGAATAAGCCCTGAGCATTACAAGGTGTGGCCTAAAAACAAAATCAAAAAATAAAAAGTTCATTACACATCCAGAGAGATAGAACAGGAGTTAAGGTGCATATGGCCAATCCCACTTAAATCCCATCACCACAAATGGTTTTATGAGCACTTCCAGAGATCATTCCTGAGCAGAGCCAGGAACAGCCCACAGGAACACTGGTGGATATGGCCCTAAACAAAACAAACAAAAACTCCACAGTTCCTCTTACAAACCCAAACTAATCTTACTGTATGATAGAGAGTTAAATGGCTTGCATGAAGAGGAAGAATCAGATGTGTTTAACCAAAACAATGAAAAATATGGCCCAATATTAGAAGCAATGGGCTAGAGTGTTCACTAAGTCAGAGGTTCTCTTTGCTTCTTGCCTCTGTGGGGAATTTTGTAGTTTTATTTGCTTTTGTAAGGAGACAGCATTCTGCAACCCTGACCTTGTAGACCCTATCCACATTCAAAGCTCATTTCAACTCCATTCAGTCAGAATGTTTAGAAAGCTTTGAATATACCTTACCTGATCTCTTTGCCTCATGGCAAGGAATACAATTACTTTTCTTTCCAAATAGCTGGCACCTTACTGAAGCCAATATTATAAAGATCCTGGCACAGGAATTTCTAAGTATTTCCCTGTCAATGTCTATGGTATGTTCACAGGTCACTGAGAGAATCTCGGGTATTTCTTTCTTTTTTTTGGGGGGGGGGGGCAGGGGCAGGTGGAATGCCTCAAGAGATGATCAGGAGAGCCCTGGGACCTTCTTGTTGTCAATGGTTCAATATGAGATCAGTGATGAGATGCTGCTTGGATGTCAGGAATTAACCACTCAACTCCAAAAATTCTTGCGGGCTTCCAAGTTGCAATCAATGATGATCAGGAGACCATGTGGTCCCAGGGTTAGGACCAGGGTTTAGCTGCATACAGGACAAGCACCTTTACCCCAGCACTGTCTCTCCAGCCCACTCTGGCATTGATCGTCAAAGAATTCTGTTATGTAAACTCACATCCCCTCAACTGGCGTAGCCTTACTCTATTTGAATTAGCTTTCCAAGTGCTACTGCTATGTGGGAGAGGTAACACGGTGCTTACAGTACATGTCTTGCATGCGGCTGACCCTGAGCTGAGGCCCTGCACTACAGGTATCCATTCCCCACCAACACACTGTCATGTGTGGGCAAACCACTGCAGGGTCTGAACAGCAATGTATGTCCTGAACCCCACTGGGCTGGAAGGGGCTTCCAATGCCGCTTGAGTGCCATTAGGGTGCCCACCCACCCCAACCCCTTCAAAAAGAACTGTTGGCCACCACAGAAATTTTCCAAATTAAATCCCACCAGAGCCAGTAACAACGGCATTAATACCTAGTGCTCATCCTCCTGTTAATGTAAAATTCTTTCCAATTAACACATTTCATAGGTAGCTGCAGAATGCCTGCATCCAAGTAGCAGGCAGATATTAAGTGCCTGACCTAAGGGATTCCAACCTGCAGGTCACTAATGACAACAGATAAACAAAGATAAGTTGGTTGTGGAACAGTGTGACAGGCACCCAAGGTAATACTACACACGATTAATTCCCTAGGGCTGTGTCACTTTTCCTACTTTGCAAGCCAAGTGGCTGCGGCAGTGAAAAAAACCCTTGAGTGCTACAGAAGACTCCACAGCCGTCCTCATCTGATAAGGGAACTGAAGA